ACTCTTTCTTTTGGTGTGTTCGGTGTTTACATAGTCATAGCACAAACTATTCTGTGGCTCTTGAAAAATCAGTCAAAATGCTCAAAAAAAACTCTGGCAGTATGAGACTCTGTTCTGAAAATGGCTGGCAGTCAATGAGTTAATGATCATAAACAACGTAAATAAATAACTAGATAAATCAGAGATACTGATACTGTGGTCTCAGGGTGCTGTTCACCCCCGGGCACACGGACGACCACATGGCTCTGCTGCTGGAGGAGGAGCGGGGGCTTTTCTCGGGGGACTGCGTCCTGGGCGAGGGCACCGCCGTGTTCGAGGACCTGTACGACTACATGAGGTCCCTCAGAGTCCTGCTGGACTCCAAGGCCGACCTCATCTACCCCGGTAGGTTCTGCTACCTGAACCCAGACTGGTTCCACAGAGTTGGGTTCTGCCTCGCTTTGGTCCCCCAAACCGGCCAGCTCAGCCAATTCAATTCGAATGTGTCTGTAGGACCAATAAGGACCCAGAATGAGTCTGTAGCACCCAGAAAGAGACTATAGGACCCAAAATGAGTCTCTAGGACCCAGAATGCGTCTATAGGACCCAGAAGGACCCAGTAAGAGTCTGTAGGACCCAGAAAGAGACTATAGGACCCAGAATGAGCCTGTAGGACCCAGATTGAGTCTATAGAACTGGATTGAGTCTATAGGAACCAGGACCTTTCTGCAAGAGGGTTCTGGGTTGGAGTCCCGGGGGAACCAGAACATATGAATTTTCCAACATACAAAGTGAAAGTTGATCAAATATTCGACGAGAAGTAAATTTCCAACATACGCAGGACATCCAAGTCATTTTACCACTCTCTGATACAATGCATTTGTTTTATGGCTATGTGTAATTATCTGCCGTATTTATTAAGGAGTTATTGTAAGTTTTTGGAACAAATTCTAGGAATTACAGTGTATTCTGATGGGAATATTTGAACCAACATACGAATATTTAAACATACTGGAACTAATTAATTCCTCTGTAGAGGTTCTGCTGTATTGTTGATGTTTCCCAGTGGGTCAGCAGTTTTTACGGCCCCTTTGGCTCGTTCCCACCTGTGTTCAGAGGCTAAACCCCCCCCTCCGTGTGCAGGACACGGGCCGGTGGTTCAGGATGCTGGCGCTAAGATCAGAGACTACATCCTCCACCGGGAGAAAAGAGAGCGGCAGATCCTGGACGCCATTCGGGACGGAGCCGGAAAGCCTTTCTCCTCCATGGAGCTCGTCAGGATCGTCTATAAGGTCCAAACACGCCCCCGGGGCTTTGATCCCCCCCGGATCTCCACACAGCACATTACCCGGCCTGTTGTGTGGCGAGCAAAAAGGGCCAAACAGTGATTTGACAAACTTTTTTTTAATTTTTTTTTTTACTTTTTACTATAACCCCTTGTTGTGTTCAGCATTATATTATTTTTTTATATATATATATATTGGATTTTATTGTTATATTATTTTATTTCATATTATATTATATTTAATATAATATATTATATAAATAATAATAATTATATATAATAATGATATGATATAATAATATATCATTATATTTTATACAGATTCTTTTTATAATAACATCTTGTCGTGTTCAGCATTATATTATTATTATATTATATTTTATTTATAAACATATATATGTATTACATATTAAATTATTATATTACATTACATTACATTACATTACATTACATTACATTACATTACATTATATTATATTATATTACGCCCCCGTGGCTTTGATCCTTTCATGCTTTATTATTTATTTAAGATTTATTTTTGTTACAGAAGTAAGACGGTTAATGCTTTTTAAGGAAAAGAGAAAAAAGAAAAGAAAAAAATGAAGAAAACAAATTAAATAAAAAAAATTAAAAGAATAAAATACAATTTAAAAAAGGAAGAGAGAATAGAGAAAAGGTAACAATAACCAACGCCGAAAAGAGGAGAGATCCTTAAAACCGGAAGAGAGAAAAAAATAAAACAAAACCTCACATTCAGCCTCTAGTAAAGACAAACATTTGACCGAGTTCTGGGTGGAGTTTTCCCTCATCCCGGCTCTTCTCCTCCAGGAAACACCGGAGTACCTGCACCAGGCCGCCAACGTGAACCTGCTGCACCACCTGAAGAAGCTGGAGAAGGAAGGCCAGATCTGCTCCGGTGGGTCCCAGAGGAACTTTTAAAAGCTGTAAAACATGAAAAATACAAAGGACGGGTACAAAAGAAAAGCCTCAAAATGAATTGCAACATTTCCAAGCACATTTTCTTCAGGGTTCCCGTTATTGGAGGTCTCTGGAAATAATTATCCAGATTTTCTGTACTTTGTTTAAAGTTTTTCTTCCGTTCATATTCAGTATAGTCCTTTTTTCATTTATTTATTTAAACTGTGATAGTCAAAAGGTTCAGGCTGTGCTAGAGAAGAAAGCAGGCAAACCAAATATTGGCTTTTTTTTTCCTTTTCTTTTTTTTTCTTTGTAGAACCAACTCAGTTTTTGCCATTTTTATGGTAATGTGTGAAATTATGAAATTAGATTTTTGCTCCAAAGTCAGAAACACATGTAAATAAGACCTCCACTGTAAGAAATCTAACATACACACAGAGTTTAATTCATGCATAAGAGCTGGGCCCTGTGTAATACTGTGAACCACCTCATATATCCTGGTTACTAGTGTCATAACTGAGGATTTTTGACGATTTTCTTCTTTTATTTAAACATAAAACACAGAGAACTGGCTCTACAATCACAAAACAGTTGCAGAAACCGTCTCTAAGTTAGCTGGGTCTTTACTCTTTTTGTCCATTTAGCCCCAAAAAAGTCCAGCTTGTTGTTTCTGGATGCTAACATGCTAGCCTTTCTGTACTCTGTTTAAAGTTTTCCTGAACTTTCCTCTCTGTTTTCCACAGTGACCGAGGCCTCCGACGGCTTCAAGTGGAGGAGCAACCTGTGACCTTTGACCTCTCCGTCCGCCCGGCGGCCATTTTCCCAAAACCTGGATTACCAGCTCCCGGCGTCCCATTCGGGATGAAACGCACTATTTCTGATTTCCAGATGTGTTTTTGGAATCGATCCTGCTGCTTCGTACGCTTTCTGGCATCAGGAGTCTGTAATCTGAGTCGTTTTTTGGAGTTTCCCCCGAACGCTTAACCCCCGAAGGGCGTCCGGTCCCAAAAAGCCCGTCGGTTAGCCGCTGTTTGCTCTGCGTGTTTGTTTGTTAAAAGTCTGCTTCTACCTGCCGAACAGGGAACTAGCGGCTCAACTGGTTGGACTTCACACCGGAGGGCTCCTCTGGCTACTCCGGGACTTTAATTCTTTCTTTTTTTTTCTTTCTGACTTGTCATACGAGGCTAAAATGTGCACTTCTGAACAGAAACGTGGCGCTAATAGCTGGAGGCCGTCACTAGGTGGCAGCATGTGCTAATCTGAACCGGCTAAAATGAACAAAAATGTGGCACAAATGTTTAAATGCTCTATTTTCTTTGACAATTCTTATTAAAAAAGTTTCACGAAGACGTTGTGAGTGATGTTTGATCTTAAAACTTCCTATTTTAACTAATAAAATAGGACTATTGAGCACAGCTGTTATGCTGGTTACAACCATTAATGGGTCATAATGAAGCAATATTCCATTAGTAATAATGAGATGTGTTATTTGACCTTTTAAACTTTGGCTACACACACACACACAAACACACACACACACACACACACACAGTGAACCTCACTAGTTCTCAGGTTGACTCATGAGTGATGCAAACTGGCTGGACGGGGACTTTCTTTAGAATTTTGGTTGCTGTTTCTTTAATGCTCAGCCAGTTGTTGAGTGTGTGAGAGACTTAAAATGATCAAAACACGCTGAGAAAAATAAGTTTTCCAACTCGTACTCGACACCACAGCCCAAAATGGAGGTGTGTCACCGGTTTATAATGATATGTCCTATAATAAATTAATTTAAATAATAATCGTCCACTATTCTGAACATAAAGGGAGGAAGCGTGTGAGTCAGTATTGCTCTGAAAGCCTCTGAGAGCTGAAAAAAACACACAATTAAGTTTATATTGGCAACAAAGCAGCCCCAGAAGGCGCGCGGCCATATGCTCTCTTATTAAGGTTATTTAGTCTTATTATTGGGAGTTTTGTTGGGTTTTCTGTGTGCGTGAGGTGGAGACGAGTGAGTGGCAGAGCTAATGAGATGAGAGGAGGTGGAGGGTGAAGAACAGTTTCTTCCCCCTGGCCATCAGACTGCATGTCCATGTCCACCCCCCATGGACATGGACAATACAAATAGAAATAAAAAAGAAATAAATATACATATATGAATAAATATTAAATAAATATATAAAATATCTTTAAATATAAATATATATTGAAATAAAATAAATATATATTTAATGTATATTAAATTATGTAAATATACATTTAAATAAAATAAATATAAATATGAATATAAATTTAAATATATTTAAATAAATAAATAAAATAAATACAAAAATAAATAAAACATTTATTTTTGCAATAACTAAGTGTAATATACTGTATATGTATATATGTATATACTTATTTACCCTGCATATAGCTAGCTCTTAGCTAATTAGTTAGTTAAAACATATTTATTGTGCAAGAATAAGGTCTTAGCTCTGTTACACTGGTTGTCAAGATTCACCTTGTGTTTTTTGTGCTAT